GTGGACGTTTCGCCTAGGGCGCAAAACATTGTTGCACCAGCCCTGCTTGACAGGAGATCAGTGGTTTACAGAGCATTGTAATAAGCCCTACAGCCATCACTGTCTGACCTATCGGTCTTTCTCCTCAAAGGAAACCTGCACAACACTTTCAAAAGATGAGCCTGGGAGCTTAAATTTATAACTTTGCTAGACACTAAAAATCATGGACTGAACAGAGACACTGGATTTATGCCTTATTACAACAATCTGTAACCCACTCTTTTTGTTCTAGGACTGCAGAGGTGATAACAGGCCAATTCACCTTGAATGGTCCCTTAGAATGTGTGCTAACTACTTCTGCTAAACAATCTGTTCCACTTTTTATTTAGCTGTCAGGCTCAGAGTACTCCCCAGACCTGAAGAAGAGCTCTGTAGAACCTCAAAAGTTCGTCTCTCTCACCAACAGAAGTTAATCCAATAAAAGCTATTACCTCACCCACCTTTTCTCTATAATAGTGCTTTGGGCAGCTGGAGTGAGGCTTGTGTAAGTGAATGTAAAGTTCTGCGGCATAGACAGGACTAGCACTTTCCCCAATGGGCAGGCTCAGGTGCAGAGAAGTTAAGGCCAACATTTCCAAACATGGATACCTTAGGGCTTGTCTACACTGGCACTTTACAGCACTGCAACTTTCTCGCTCAGGGGTGTGAAAAAACACCCACCTGAGCGCTGCAAGTTTCAGCGCTGTAAAGTGCCAGTGTAGACAGTGCAACAGCGCTGGGAGCCACACTCCTAGTGCTGAGAGCTATTCCCCTCGTGGAGGTGGTGCCGTGACTACACAGACACGTTAAAGCGCTGCCACGGCTGCGCTTCCGCAGCAGGGCTTTACCGTTGCTAGTGAAGACATGCCCTAAAGTTCAGCTTGATTTTCACAGGTGTAGGTGTTGGACACCCTTTGAAATCAGTGGGGGCTGTAGAATTTCAACATCTTTGAAAATCAAGCTGCATATTTGACTGCTTAAATATGGATGTAGGTGTTTAACTGCGGCACCCAACATTCAAAACTTTTGGTTTAGGTGAATAGCCCAGAATCATACAGCAATGGCAGAGCATGGAATAGAAACCAAGTCCTGATTCACTATCACCTGTTCTAATAACCAGTGTGCATCTTCCTCCCATCAGATTTCCCTCATACGAATTGTCATAGGGCATGGCTACACTTGCAGATGTAGAGCGATTTGAACTAAACCAGCCTTCGTAGAGCGCAGTAGGGAAAGCGCTGCAGTCTGTTCACACTGACAGCTGCAAGTGCACTGGCGTGGCCACATTTGTGGCACTTGCAGCGTCATTGGGAGCGGTGCATTATGCGCAGCTATCCCACAGAGCACCTCTTCCCATTCTGGCGCTGTGGCTTGTGGGAATGGGGCTGGGGGTTGTGGGGCATTCTGGGTCCTGTCCCAACGCCCAGTGATGCATTGCTTTGCATCCCGGAAATCCCTCTGCTTCCGTCCACATTTGGCGCCATCTTTCAACGTTTTTTGTGCTACGTGCTCTGTCTTCCCTTTTTGGTCTGCGGGAATGGAGCCCGAACTGCTGAGGAATATGCTGACAAGTCTTGCCAGCATGTCATGTTTGGCAGCCGAGTTACTCCTTAACATCCAAACTGACAGTGCGGACTCCGATGACTATATCGACTCGAGTAATGCATATGACACGAGACTGCTTGTGGCATTCACGGACATGCTTACCACCGTGGAATGCCGCTTTTGGGCTCCGGAAACAAGCACTGTGGGATCACATCATCCTGCAAGTCTGGGATGACGAGCAGTGGCTGCAGAACTTTCAGATGAGGAAAGCCACTTCCATGGGACTGTGTGAGGAGCTCGTCCCCACCCTGTGGCGCAAGGACACG